AGTTGCTACTAATAATGATCAACATCATGATTCAGACTGAAGAAAATTATGATTAAAAAAGTAAATATCTTTTTTTTTAATCTCCTGAAGAATCGTTTGTTTTTCCTGACATAAACATCTCTTGTAACACAACGGGACGCGTTACCACAAGCTTCTAGAAACTAGATGTCACAGAAACAGCGATTAAAAGAAATGAAGTCAAAGGGTTCCATCGGCATCCCTGAAGACTGACTTTTGCAGCAGCTATACGTGATAAGCATCAGAATTCAACATAAAAGCTATTATGGGAAGAGACAGCAAGACAGAGTATTTCCATGTTTTCCCTAAGAACTCCAGTACAGGTCTCTCCCAATCACTGAAACTCAATTTTCAATTTTCTTTCTTCCTAAGACTTTTCCTGTGTAGACATCTAGACCCAAATACACACTACATCTTTCAATCAGTCTGTTCTCTTCGTTTCCTTTGGTTCTTTCTAGAAGGCTGCTGCAGTTTATTCCTGTTACACCACAGCAAAATCAAAAAGGTAAATAACAATAAGCCTTACTGATAACAATGTGGATTAAAATTTGTAAAAAGTAGGTCTTTGCCCACTCGCTTTCTCTCATTTTTCTCCCTTACTATTGTCTTTCATTTGTTTCTATAGCTTCTACTCACTGTAGAGTTTATGTTGCCATTCTCTCCTGATGAACACATCATCCTTGTTTAAGGTAACTTCCTTACCATCTCTGGGTCATGCCCTGGTAGCATCCCAACTAAGTCCAAAGAAAGATCCCGTGGTGTACTGAGACACTCAGCTCCTCTATTCCATGACGTTCTCCAAAAATCATAGTATTGTACATAAAGCGAAAACAGTTACTTTTACTCCCAGCTGACCCATAACTAGCAGACTGCTGCTTCTCTAAAATCTCAAATTGACACTGGTCTCTTAAACACTTAACTTTTTAAATGCCAGAGCTGCAAGGGGCAAACTGAATACAACTATTTACAGTTAGTGATATTCAGTTTTTAGGCTGAAACTTTAAGCATACAGCTTTTAGGAATAAATGTATCCTCTTACAACTTCTGCTCATAAAAGGTAACAATGGTCATGGTATTTAGTGAACTTAGATGAAGGGAAGCCAGGCTAAGCATTTTGGGCTTCATTTACGTATCAGTCTTCAGTCCTACATGCCTGCTTGCTAAAAGCCAGAGAAATATGGCACAGAATAGGGATAAGGTTGCCCTGTCTCAGCTCCACTTACAAGCGTGAATTTTAAAACTACTTCACCCCATAAAACCATGATAATGAAGAACTAAAATAAATAGAAGAATGGAGTACACTCCACTCCAATTTTGAAGCATGACAATCAAGAATGCTGGCCAAATACACTGAGAAGAGTTCAAACTGATATTACAGTAAATTACATTCAGAAATTTTTAATTATATGACACTATTTTCCTGTGATCTAAAATTTAATTCCATGATTTTTCTGTATACGTTAACAGCTTTCACTGTACTATTTACAGTCACCCTGAGGGGCACAAGCTGGCATATATCTTACTATAAATTCATGGTGCATTCTGAAAAACTATATATTACCTTATTTTAGTACTAACTTCTGAATTTTTATGCTAGTGCTGGTCAACCTAACACACAAATTCTCTGCAGTATTAATAGTGCACATAAGTCTTTCAGAATTAATGTGGAATTTGTGACTGCAATATTTTGGAAGGAATATTCTGACAAAGCCAGAAAACTTTATAACACTTAGCTAGCAAAACAGGTTGAGAATTTGAGAGTAAGGTCAGCTGAAAATATCTCTAGTTCACTAGACCTGACTAAAACACGAGGTTTGCCTGAGCAAAGGTGTTCATCAACGGGGTTTGTATTCACGTTTCCCCAGCTGCAATGTCACACCTCTAACAGCAGAGTATGCTGAGTCACTGTGGAGGATAAGATGGGGGACATGTTGGACATCTTGTAACTCACATGATGGATAGTGAGTACAGCAACTCCATCATTCTCCTTCAGAAGACAACTACTTTCAAGATGAAAAGGAGTAACGTCAAATTCCAAAGCACCTCATATAGCTGTCTGTCAGGTTATCTGGGGTGCTTTTTGGAGTGGAGGGTCCTTTTGGAAGCAGGGGCAGGGAGATGTTTTGAAACAGGACTGATGCTTTGTGTAATTGTTTGATTTAAAGCTCTGCCAGGAAAATTTACACAAATCTAAACTTACACAACTTAAAAAGGAACTCATCCTTTCTTGCTACTTACAAGTTTTTAATACATTTACCTCTCTTGGTGACAAAATTCTGCTGATCACTTCTTGCCAAGCCAAACATCCTCAGGTGCCCATTTTTGAAATTAAGCTACTAAAACTAACCCAAAAACCGCTGTGCTTTTTAATCTTTGTAGTAGGACCATTGCTAAGGACTTCTTGCAGCTGAAGCCCTGCTTGTGCTCATACTGATAACATTACCTTAATTTGTCCTTGACATTAAAATAGTATTACATAGTAACTAATGCCTCCCTCTGGTTCCCAGTGCATTTAAAAAACAAACGAACAAAAAAAAACCAAACAAGCTTTAAAGCATTTACAGCCTTGCCCAAAAGCAGACTTTTCCCAAACCTTAACAATCCTCTGGACATCCTTTGATGTTTTTTCCTGTTTGCCAAGTGTGATTCTTCACGTTAAGTCTGGATACTTCACTACAAATGAAGTTTCCTCCGCTTCCACCCCAAAAATGTTTCACTGACATAATTATGACTTGCAAAGTGTTATTTTGCTAATACAGTAGTATGCACATCCCAAACTGAGGGAAGAAGGAGACCATACACTTATATTTATTTTTCAAAGGGAGAGCAAGAGCAGTGAATGGCAGGTTAGACACAAAGTGACAACAGAGACAAGGAAAGACATGAAGGTAAATAAACACAGAATTACATGTGGAGGAACAGTTAAGAAAATGTAAAGGAAAAATGAGAACCCAGGAGTGGTTATAGACGGTCGTATTTTTCAGAAGTCTACAAGGAATTTTTGCTTACTGAAAAGTCCTAATCATAGGTTTTCCTACTTTTCAGAAAAGGCTAAAGAAAAGATCATCAAGATGCAAAATTAAAATGAGTTAATAAAAAGATTCTATTCTAATCTAACATCCCCACAAACTATCATTTTTAAAAGCAGCTGTCCTAAGTCACAGTATGACCACACCTCCAAGAACATCAAAGTAACTTTTGGTAACTAGTACCATGCCTACATTTGCAATTCCCACTTACACTGAGTGGCCTACTTGAGCTGAGTAGTACCTTGCTCAAGTCTGGAAGAGTCAATGGTAGTTTCGGAAGTCTGAAATGCACTGTGGTTTACTAATTCCGTTTGTCCCGTTAGGAGCACTGAAACAATAATTTTAATTTTCCAGAAGCTCTAAAAGATACTAGAGCGTTTTCCCATGGGCTATTTAGTCACAGTTCTAGCGACTAAATTTAACACCTTGTTGTGGTCTAACTACAGTAGGTAGCTAAGGCTCACCCAGCCGCTCCCTCGCGCCCCCTACAATGGGATGGGGGAAAGAATCAAAAGGGTATAAGTGAGAAAACTCATAGGTCGAGATAAAGACATCTTCATAGGTAAAGCAAAAACTGCACATGCAAGCAAAGCAAAACAAGGACTTCATTCCCTGCTTCCCATCGGCAGGCAGGTGCTCAGCCATCCCCAGGAAAGCAAGGCTCCATCACACATAACAGTTACTTGGAAAGACAAACGCTGTAACTCCAGACGTCTTTCCTTCCCCCCCCCCCCCCGATATTATTGCTGGCCACAGTGTCATATGGTATGGAACAACCCTTTGGTCAGTTGGGGTCAGCTGTCCCAGCTGTGTCCCCTCTCTCGAGCATCTCCAGCCTGCTTGCTGGTGGGGTGGTGTAAGAAAAGGCCTTGACACTGTGTTGGCACTGCTCAGCAGTAACAGAAACATTCCTGTGTTAGCAGCACTGTTCTGGTCACAAATCCAAAATCCATATGAGCTACTATGAAGAAGATTAACTCTATCCCATCTATCCCAGCCAAAACCAGTACACACTTTCTGTTTTCACAAAATTATTTTAAATAGTTTTTAAAAGATATATAAGGTTAAACCAATCCTTCCTGAAGGACATCTCCTCTCTCCCTTAGACATAACAGATAAATCACTAGAAAATTTATTTCATAATAAGGGCTAAGACGTAGAACACGTTGTGAAGGTCAGTTCTTCAAATAAGCTTCAGTATGAGACTCTGCCATGACACTCCTGACTAACTTCAAATTCCACATATAACATGACTTTTAGGGGGAAAAAGACAAGAAATATTTTTAAAAAAAAAAAAAAAATCTGTAAAAGATAACACACCAGAGCCCTTTGGTGACATTCAAACCTTCTCCATATTTGAAAGCTCCTTTAAAGAAAAAAGTTTCTTTTTCTGTACTGTTTAACAGCTCTTTCTTGTGATCACAAAGACTTTATGACTAGTTTCTCCTTTTCCACACTTCCACAATGTATTTCCATATTACGTATTTGCCCTACAGCCAGTGTAAACAGGAGAGCCTGCTCTTGAGGACTTACAGAGGACTAGTTGCCTAGTTTCAAAGAGAAATTTGAGAAAGAGGGGATGGAGCAGCCTAAAAAGGAGTGCTGTGATACTCTGGTAACAAATGCACCACTTACAGTCTAACTTCTCCATCCCCTCTCAATTTCACTGCCTAAACAATTCAAGAGCACTCTAGAAACAGGAAATTTTCTAACTGTGTTTAATGGACTGTTTCAAACTGCCATCTTTTCTTGAGCAGGTGGAAATAAAGCAACATCTATTATAAGGCTGCTTTTGATCATAATTCTGATGCATTGCTTGTGATCGAGTTACAAAATATCCAAACATTTTTGATGTTTAAATTTACTCTGAAGCTTTTACTTGTACAAATAAGATTAAAATAGAAATGAGAATCAATAACTAACGATAAAAGCAATAAAACTGAAAGTACTTACATTAAACTTAATAATGTCATATATCAAGTACCGAGGGACAACCTGTCCATTAACCTTGTCGATGATCATTTCCTTAAAAGAAAAGAGATGACATTTACATTTATTTCATGAACAAAGAAGAATGTCAACACATTTATACTTAGTGCACGTACCTGTAAGCATGATGCAATCAAACACTGGCCACATGTTTATTATGAAAAAGATTTTACAATAGGTCAAGATGATAAAAATAATTATTATGGTCTCAAATGTAGCTCATGAAGCATTCAATAAGAAACCAGGAAGCTGTACTACACCTCCACATCTTGATCTGCAACATTTATTCATTAGTTTCCCCATGGCTTTCAAAATCACTACCTTTGAGTGAATAATGAGGTTTTAGAAACATCAGTAAGAACTGCAATCCTAAGGCAACCAAGCACTTTTGGAAATCTTGCCTACAATAAGAAGTACAACAGCAAGGAAGTAAAGAACAAACACTAACATCCATTTTCTATGCTCAGGTTGGATCTTTTCAGGTTACCACGTCCTAAGCGGCAGTGACAACAATGTTGCATTGATTAAACAGGAGGGATCCTTCAAACGGAAAGGTCACAGATACTACCTGTAAATTAGTTAACATTCAATATACACTGGTAAACCATCTTGAAAATATGTCATCTAGAAGGAAGACTATTAATGATCAACATCCAAACACAAAAGTGTTTCCTCAACTGAACAGTACATACAAAAATATATACCTCTTACATGCTGGTGCTTACATCTGTAACACAGGCTTCCTATGGTATGAATTAGTGTCCCGGTTTGGGCTAAACCAGAACTAA